GGCAACTTCATCATGGCGACCTTCTACGCGCTGCGCAAGACGTACGGTTTCTTGACGCCCGACCTCTGGGCCGAGACGGAGACGTCGCGTGACCCCACCGATGAGCACTCCGAGTTCCTCACCATGGGTGGCAAGATGATCGCCGCGTGAGTACGTAGGTGACAAGGCGATGCCAGAACTAGCTGCATTATTCTTTATTTCTGCTTTCCGTATCTTGAGACTGAAAAAAAAAAGTATCCTGTACTCTATCTGCACGTTGGTTGTCGTGATTTCTTGTTGCGACTGTGTTTTTTTTTTTCCCCGCAAGCCATGTGTATGTCTTTTTTGTTCTCTCTGTTTTTAACATTGTGTCAGTTAGCGTAGTCGTGGTTTGCAATGCGGCGTGTGGTGGGTATTTCGTTTAGCTGTGGGAATGCACGTCGTTTTCTTTGTACACGCAGCCCGGGCGTCGGCGGCGTGGAGAAGGTGGTGGATACAGAAACACACGCTGGTACAAATAATCATGTGCTTCCTGCCGTGAGGCTGGCGTTGTGTGCTGTGAGTCCAAGCCCGGTGTTCCCCGCGACAGCGATTGGCAATGAGCTGCTTGATCCACGTGATCCGTGCGTGGAATGGCGGGNAGCCCGGTGTTCCCCGCGACAGCGATTGGCAATGAGCTGCTTGATCCACGTGATCCGTGCGTGGAATGGCGGGAGTACTATTCTTTGGAACTTAGCAAACCGTACTACCATAATGTTTTAATGCATACGACGACATTTGAGGTGCCGACTGGCTTCCTAACACGCTTTCCATTGTTTCACCGTCGCCACGGGCTTGGTGTCACTGAGGAGGGCCGTGTCTTCCGACGAGCTGCCGCCAGCAGTAGCGGTGAATCGGGCAATAGTTCGGCAGGAGGAGCTGAGGGCGCTGGCGGTGCGTCAGCAGCCCCACCCTGCGAAGGCGGGTCACCAGGTTCTTCGTCATCATCAACGGCGCCATCGGGTGGTTCGCTCACGTTGAAGCAGAAGTTGGCAGCATACGGCGGTGGTGGACTTATTTTGTATCTCATTGTCCACAACGTGCTGCTTGCCATGATCTTCTTTTCGCTCTACTTCCTGCATATGGATCTGGTAGGTTTCGCCCGATCGTATGGATTTAATATAATGAGTGAGAAGCCCGCACTCGCCGCTGATGAGGACGGTGTTGCCCCTGTCAAGAAGTATCCGTCGTTCTGGGCTACATTAGGCATTTCGATTGTGTTGAACAAGATGTTGGTGCCGCTGGAGCTTGCGGTGACGCTCATGATGGCGCCTGTTTTCGTCCCTCGTCTGCAGCCCTTTGCCTCTCAGTTCATTCCGCGTGTTAAGGCCATGGCGCGTAATTTCAAAATGGGCTGATGATAGGCAGCTTGGGTGAGAGCGAAGATATACTTAACTTCTTTTCTACACATCGCGATTTGACTCACAGATTGATAACAAAAAAAAAAGTCTCAAGTATCTTTTTTTCTGGTTGCCATTCTATGTGCATTTGTGTGTCTGCATGCGTTGTGGGTGAATGTTCAGTGTTCTGTGTGATGCAATGGTCAACTATGTATTTTTTTGTGTGAATTTCTGCCCCTGTGATTGTTTCTGTGCACACGTTTCTCTTTTTTTTTTTCGTTTGTTCTTTCCTCTCTTTGCTGTTTGCGTTGCTGTTTCCCACAAGAAATCTTTGAGGAACGATGGTTCACTACTCCCGCAAGCCGCAGGTGTCATCGAAGAGCGCCAAGGCGAAGATCAGCGACCTTCGGTGCCACTTCAAGAACACGTTTGAGACGGCTAATGTGGTCAATGGCATGCCTCTCCGCAAGGCCCAGCAGCTCTACCGTCAGGTTCTTGCCAAGACTCGCTGCATCCCCTTCAAGCGTTACAACGGCAAGATTGGCCGTACTGGACAGGCAAAGGAGTGGGGTCAGACAAAGGGCCGCTGGCCACGCAAGTCGGTTGTGGCGATGCTCTCGCTGCTGAAGAACGCTGAGGCCAACGCTATTGAGAAGGGTCTTGATCCCAACAAGATGGTCATCAAGCACGTGCAGGTTGATGAGGCTGCCCGCATGCGCCGCCGCACGTTCCGTGCCCACGGCCGTATCACGCCCTACATGTGCAGCCCTTGCCATGTCCAGCTGTTCATGACGCAGCCGCAGGAGCGCATTCCTGTGCCGAAGAGTCAGCCCAAGAAGTAGTGCCGCTGAACGCCCGACGATTTCAGTATTTTGATTTATTCTTTTTGCTCATCGTGCTTTGAGTTGAATATCCCTCTCTTGTTGGGTGCGCTTTTTCTGGTGTTTTGATGATTTGTATTGGTGATAAGAAGTACTGACAACATCAACAGATAAATGTCCGTGCTCTCTGTGTTCTCGTCCCCCCTTCGTCTTTCTTAGAAGAGAACAGGCGACTAAGAAGAATAGACGTGGTAACACATAAATGGACGCTGCTTATCCCTTCGAGAGGCTCCACGTTGCTGTGCGAGAGCGACCCATTACGGAAGACGAGCTGGGAGACGTGCGGCTGCGTCTCAAAGTGGATGAGGACAAACTCGTCGCCTTCGCACCAGGTGCGACTGAGGGTCTCATGTATGACTGCGATAACTACTTTCCTTGTGGCACTTCACAGGAGGAAGTGAGCCAAACCATTGGGTCTCAAATGGTCGACCTGGCTCTGCAAGGCCTTAGTTGCAATGTTGTCGTCTTTGGTTTCACCGACACAGGCAAAACACACACACTCTACGGCGATAACAACGTCACTGGACTCATCCATGACACAGTGAGGGAGTTATACACGAGACTTGATGCTCAGTCGGATGCGTACAGTGCGGATGTTTTGCTGCGTTATTGGGAGATGAATCGCGACGCTGTTGAGGACAACTTGCGCGATGAAAGTGGGGAAGATGACGCTTGTACATACGCGATTTCCCGTGACTCTTTGGACCGTCTCACGATACCGAATTTGGCCACTGTGGAGGTTCCAACGATGGAGGATTTTCTGGCCCAGCTGGACCGCGGCAACAACAACCGCATTCGGCGTTCCTACGAGCGGATGGTGCGGTGGCATGGCTTTGTGCAGCTCACCATTACAACCACTGACAAGGCTGAGGGAGAAAGGAATATTATTCGCACCATGACGTTTATACATATGAAGGGTACGGATCGTGTTGGCGCGAAGGGAATCCGTGGTGAGCACCTCAAAGAGGGAAGCTCTATCAATGTCAGTGTTACACTTCTCGGCGCGGCAGTCATCCACTCACTTGAGTATCGCGAGAAGCGGAAGGCCAGAACCACAACGTTGGAATCGTATCGTGCTCTTATCCGCCGTAGTCAGTCTTTCTTCATGGAGTGCAAGTTTTCTCGCATCATGTCTCAGTTCATATGTGGTTTTGAAGGATCATTCGTTGTGGGGTGCACAAGTCCATTGCACTACGGTGAATCCATCGAGACGCTCGAGCACTTGCAACTTTTTCGTCGCTTGGAATGTGCCTTGAAGCCTATCGTTGTTGTGTCAAACCGCGGTTTGTTGCTGCG